CAAAGAGCGAGACAAAGAGAGCGAGACACAGGGAGTAGGCGGAAGAGATAAGGGCGACGTCGTGTGCCAGCGGCGGCAGGTGAGACCTTATCACTCATAAAGAGGAGGGGAGGGCTCCTTCCAGCCTGGAGCGGCGGCGGCGCCGATGCACTCTCTGGTGCACGATGATGTGGGTAGGACTCCTATGGACACTATATTGCAGGACTACACGACTACACATACTTTTCTTTGCAGGGTGCATAACAGAAACAGCTCCTCCTATGCAAGGAAACCTTACACGGGAGGAGTCTTTGCGACTTGTAAAAAAACGCACTGGTGGGAGCTGCTCGCATTATTTACAGGACGACCAAGATATTCCGGCTTTCTATTTATTTTGCCTGACCAGCTGAACACTGCACAGATCACATTTTCTAGAGCAAGGGAGTCGACGGATGGGGAGCTAATACACTTTATTAATTTTGCAGTGTCCATAAACAAACAAAAATCGACAACTACAAAAACACATGAACGTATCGCCGAGTTACTTTTTTAAGGCTAACGGAAGGAGTTTTTTATCAGTTGGAGCCCAACTTACACGCAAGTGGCGACAACATAATTTTCACCAGTGTACTTTGGGTGGTGGGAAGGTGATTAGCATTGTGCGCCGTTATGTCAGCTGGGCGTGCAGCCGAAGTGCACTCTGAGGGGGGTTGGGGTACCCGAGGGGGTACCTGTGGGGTACCCATACCGGTAGGCACACCCGGCTCCAGAGGGGTACCCGTCTAGAGGCGGCACTTTATGTAAGCAGGCGCGCCCGAGCTGGCTCATTGTGAAACGGCCCCAGCAGAGGCGTGGCGGGGTGGGGCGGCCTGGAGTTTGGTGAACGGGTCGGGCGTGCGCGCGCGCGCGCCAGCCGGGCCTGCGCTGCTGCGGCTACGACTGGTCTGGTCTGCCCTAGGCGCGTCGTATGTGGAGGAAAATTATGGCACCCATAACACTACGTTTTTGTAAAGGCTAAATCACGCTGTTCAGGTGCTTTGAAATGGGAAAAGAAGAAAAAAGTTCGACAAATGACAAATGTATGAAAGGAAATTAAGAGGGAAGTGTCGATGACACTCTAACGGGGACATTTCTATGGTTCAGATTTATTCACACAGAACGAGGGCCAATAAGAGTTACAAATTTGAGACAGGTCGATAGTACCGCTATTCAGGGTCTGGAGATCTCTCTATTCGGATCGAGTTGCGCGGAGTGAGCGACCCGAAGAAAGCTCAATATTTTTTTTTTGTCGTTTTATTCTTTTTTTCCCCCCTCTAACAACGCTTGGTTGGCACTGGAGCCTATAGCCCCCCAGGCGGGGCCGCCCCGTCCCCACCCCGCCCGGCGTAGCGCCCAAGGTGAAAGCATTACCCAATCGGTATGGTCGCCTCACAAGCAGATAGCCAGCCGCAGAGCTAATGACCGAATGACGAGAGGGGCCCGGAGAGGGGGGGGGGGATGTGAGACAGAGGAGGGGGAGGGGGGAGGGGGGAATCCCAAGGATTACGTGTCTGAAGGGCAGCCGCCGGCGCCAGCCTCTCCCCAATGGTGCGCGGAGCCACAGGACGCGGCTCATTCAGGAGAGTTGCATGCAGATGAGTTTAAGATGCGCACACACACATACACACAAATACACACACACACATACTCATACACACACACACAAACACACATAGCGCGCGCTTCGGGCTGCGTTATGATAAACACGCGCGGCGGAGGATGGTGGAGAAATTGGCGGCAAAATTTAAATTAAAAATAAAAGTGTGGGGGTGGGGGAAAGAGGTGGAGGGGGCACTCCTTTTACCGGCACCATCAAGCGTATCAGTGCACAAGATGTTACACACACCAAAAAAAAAAAGAAGAAGAAAAAAGTGAAACGTGGCGCGGAGAATAATTGATGGAGACAACTAAAATAATGAGGAGAGGGAAGGGTGCGAACGATAGTGTGGAGCGAGTACGAAGGAATGTCACGAAAATTCTGTTATACAGTAATTTGATGTGACCATGTGAGTCATTCATTGTGAGTCATACACCCAACGGCCGTAATTTTTCGCTCAAAAATGCTCGTATTAAATTTGGGCATTGTTTTTGGAGTTGCCCTAGGCGCATTCTGGGCGACAAAAAACAAACAGTCTTTTCGAAACTCCTCTTTTCGAGTAAGTCTGGTGGAGCAAAAAGAGGCGGAATAGGCCCAAGATGAAGCAAAATACGGGACCTACTTTTAAAAAAAAAAACAAAAAAACAGAAAATCATCTATGACGAGAAGGGACAGGAATCTCGTCCTGGGCTGCCATGGCCACTCCCCGCTGTACGCGGAAGTTCACCGGTGGTCTTGCTCTTATCTTACCGGGCGCCTGGACGAGGCGGCGGAGGGGGAGGGGAAGGGGGGGGGGCGACACCGAGACTGAGAGCATCACCCTTGTCGGCATCAGGACGACGGACAGGTGTCCATTGGCGTAGAGAAGCTTTACGCTTGGAGAGCGGCGAGGATACACAAACAGAGTACATACTTGTACAGGGATGGGGTAAAAGAATCCTCCTTGGAGTTTTGTCTTCCCTCCCGCTGGTAGAGATCTGATCCCCCTTGTCTGGCTAACGGACAGTCGTGCACATAAAGTGCCAGAGCACTTTTTTTCAGGTTTAGGTTTCTCATTTACAAAGTGCTAATGACGGTGACCGTGCAGGATCCTCTATGGCCCACTGCGCCACGACACGTGAACATTGAACGTTTTCACACGGCGAAACCTGTCCTCCTCGGGGGCAAAGTATGGTTTTTCAAACAAAGACTACTTACACCACTTGCGGAGGAAGCTGCTCTTGAGCTTGGCCACCAGCTTGTTCTTGCCGCCCTGCATCTTGGGGGCGTTCCTAGTAATCCGTTTTCCGTCGCACAGGTATCACACACTCACAGCCACCACAACACAACAACAACAACACACTGACACACACACGCGCGCGCGTACACACTGTCGCACTTTTGAGATCTTGTCGTCTGTTTCCTTTTCTTGTTCGTCGGCGTGTGTATCCAGAGGGGTGGTTCGGTGGAGCCCTCGCGGGGGCGTTGCCGGGTCGCGGGTCGTGGCCGGAGCGCGCGGCGGTCCGGTCGGCCTGCGGGAGCGTGCGGGGCGGCGGGCGTGAGTGTCGACCGCGCGCTAGCCGTTGCCTGGCAGCACTGAGGTGAGGAGGAGGGCGAGGGCGAGCCGAGCGGCGAGCAGCGGCGGTGGCAGCGGCGACCGGGCGGGCGGCTGTTGCTGCTCGGCCGGAGTCGGCCGGGGAGGGGGGCGTGGATGGAACCCCCCCAACCGAGCTCCCAACAACTCGTACCCGCCGAGTACGGCGGTGGCTGCGGCGGTCTCGTCGGCGTGGTGTCTGTCTGTCTACCCGAGTCAGGTGGACGCTGCTGCTGCTGCCGCTGCAGCCGCTGCCGGCCGGCGACGACGTCAGGGGAGAGGCACTTCCCTCGCCGCCGCCCCCCCCCCTCGCACCTTGACTCCTTCGCCCGAGCTCGTGGGGTACCTGCCGTCCTCCTAGGTACCTGCGGCGGTGAGGCGGCCAGGATCAAACCTCACCACCGGGGGTCGCCCGTCCGTCCGGCCTGGGGCAAGCTTCCTATGGACGATATCCATCTCTCCGATTTAAAAGCCGCGATCCCGTTCAGGGGAGGCGCAGCGGCAGGTTCCGGGTTCCAGTACTTGCGTGCTCTTCGTACGTTGAAGGAGCGAACGACCATATCGACTGAATTATTGCAGAGTATTTGCAGGTTTCGCAGAAAAAAGGAAAGAAAAGTGCATAACACAAAACATTGTGAATTCATTACAGTCTTAAAGGTACATTCATTATTAATACTTCGCAGCGCAAGCCTTCGAGTAGCCTCCGTTACTGGCAGCACGCTGGTGGCTACGTTCTCCCTCTCTCTGCGCAGAATGCAATGCAGCAGCGGCAGCAGCAGCAGCGGCAGCGGAGGCAGCTAGCCAGGCAGGCTGACTCAACTCGCGAACGGTATCTCCCGCCTGGACAACCCCACCCCATCGGGCGTGTCTGAAGGAATGCATTGGAAGGCGCCCGCAGGTTGGGGGGGGGGGGGGGGTCGGATCACCTCACCACACGGCGGACGGGTCGGCGGCGACGCCAGAGGCCCAACCCGCCGTCGTCGTCGTCGGTGCGTCTCCCCCGTGGAGGACGGAGGACGTCTCCTCCTTTACCTCTCTCCGCATAACCTCACACTTGTGTTGTGTTGCCCAAGGTGCGCGTCCCATACGGGCCGTACGCCCGTCCCATCACCCCGCACCTTAAACAGACGGCCGGTGTGTCGGTCGCACACCCGCGAGTCCCTCCCGGGGGAGCTCCATCCATAGCTCATTGACGATGCACCGAGCGTCCGCGCTGCCAGGCAGAGCGAGAGAGAGATAGAGAGAGAGAGGTCGCTGCAGTCGCGCACTGTATGAGAAATAAATACCTCATTTTTCCCCGTCGTCGTCGGTTTTAGCCTCCGTTGAGACGGCCCCCGTGCCCCGCCCCACCCCGCCCTTTTCTGGCGAGGGGGCCACTTTCTCCCCGGTATGCCTTGCTGCTGCAGCCCGAGTGCGACATGCGCATTGCGGCTGCTGCTGCTGCAGCAGCAGCTGGCGCATATACGCTCGTAAATGCAGCCACGCGGCTGCTGCTGCTGTTTTCAGAGAAATTTTTCATAGTCGAGCGCCACCGCCGCGGTACTAACGAGATGGGCAGGCTGGTGTCGCAGATCGTGTATGACGGGTCGTTCCACTGTAAAAATAATATGCCAATGATTGGTGGGCACCAGTATTAAGAATTTAAAAAGTGACAGCAAGCAAGCAACCTGGAGTAAGTTTTGTTATAAGCAGGTGTTTTTAAATTTCCCCCTATCGTGAGCTCAACGGAAATCAGTCATTCGTACTGCTGTTAAGACTGTTAAGCAGCTGACGAGAAAATATCGTCGCATATATGCATATATTTTTTTTTAAAAGCGGATTCGGGTGGATACCTAGATAAGGGAGAGGGGGTTGTAACGACCCTAACACTAAAACCTAAAAGCATTGCGGATCAATTTTTACTATTGCGTCGTACATATTCACCTCTTGCCCTTGTATTGATCCTAAGCACACACTGCCCGCGCAGTCGCGTCCACACATACATACACAGCACCACACCACACCACACACACGCGCGCTACGAGTACTCCTTGCTCACATACATGCTCGGCAGGTTCGAGTTTTGCAGTTTCCGCATTTTGGCGGGAAGTTGACCCGGTCCCGTCCGCACAACCGTATTGCATCACGCAGGATGGTACACACCACCAACACATCAACCAGCACACACACACACAAACACAGACCCACGTGACATTATGTCACACCCAATGGAGAGAGTCGGCCCGCAGTCGCGCTGCGATGACAGCCACTCACCAGGTGGTGGCACTGCTCAGTCCCAAAAGGGAAGTCGGAAATTATAAGTCATTGACACCGTTCCGTCAATGACGGACACCCATCTGCCTAACTAAACGCTGCTTTTTGAAAGAAAAAAAAAAACTGTCAGAGGTTGAGTTTTACAGTTGTTAAAAACTGCCATCTGGTCGTACAGTTTGTGCAGAGCGTGCGAATTTTTGAAATACCCATTGAACCTTAGAATTTAACCTGTTTTTACTTATCTTAAAAAAAAATTAATAATGACTAAATTTCGCCCAAGTGAGGTTTCCCTTCACTAGTTCAACTATCTGACAATTTATAAAACATTAGAGAGACCCATAGAATCATTGGAAATTGTTTGGATTTGAAGGGTTGTGGCTTCTGGGACATTTTTACTTCAACATCTTGCGCGCAACTTTTCTCCGGAACCATTTGAGTTAAAAACCTGGGTGAGGTCACATTTTAAAGAGAAATAAACAGGCAATGGGACACCGGGCCCCTTTTTTATTGTTTTTAAAATAT